ACGAGAATTCTTGCTAACATAAAATTCTAATTTGTTCTAGTATTTCTTCTCAACAAGTCCATGGTTGCCAGATTTTAAAATGCATTAGAGGAAGTGAGTCAGATACCTTCTTCATACGTGACAATGAAAGTACACTCCGTCCCAAGTTCTGAATGCTGTGAAAAATTGTGTTCTTTAAATAAATAAACACAGGATGAAGCTCTCAGGCTTCAGAATACACATTCCCCCTTTCCTGCCTCATTCGTGTTTGGTTCCTTTCGTAAAGTATGTAGCACTGTGATGTTCTCCAAAATCAGCTTGCAGATAGAAAACTGCGGGCTCCTATCGCTTGCATTTCCAGTTGGTATTTCCCCACCGCAGGGCTCTGCCGGTCACAGAAGTCTTTGCCTTGGAGTTCAGCTTCCCCCCCAATTAATGCAGTTAGTTTATTCCTCTTTCTGAGGATTGCCATATATAGAAAAAAAATCTAATTATGTTCACTGGGCAGTCATTCCCATGTCTCTCTTGAGGAACATGAGTGATTTTGTTACTCCTACCACAAGTCAGCAGAACTTCCTCGGGGTGTCTGGCTTCCATTGGAGAGCATCCCTGGAAGGAGGGGAATAGTTGAGATTCGCTGAGATAAACTCTTTTACAAGTATGATACTGTGGCTTTATTTTTCTTCCCAGCCTGCATGGTGCAAAGGACTTTTCATTTCACTGAGGTGAAAACTGGGTCTGTGAGTGGAGTGACTTTCTTTAAAAAAAAAAAAAATCAGAAACCAATTACTTGATATGCAGAGCTGAAAGCCTCATTCCCTTAACGAAATCAGTGCAGTGTGCACTGCCGGTAACCTGAGCAGAGCGGCTGACATCTCTTGATTACAGCTGGAGGTGGAAGGACCCAAACTTGCAGGCTCTCCCTCCCCCTCGAGAGATTGTTAGTCCAGTCCTTCACAGAGGTTCGCTTTGGCTCTCTGTCATCACCCGGACGCTGGCGGGGGCTGAGTGTCATGGTTACAATAGAGTGTGCTAACATATCACAACCATGAAAGCCCAGCGGGAAAGGCTGCAGATTCCGGGGCTGACCTTGGAGTAAGTATTGTCTGTCTTTAATATTTTAATGCTTTCTGCATGGCACTCGCTTTCCTGCCACCAATAGCTCTTTAGCATTTGTTGGTACTGACAGCCTCGGAGCACTGCAGTGCGAGGTGGAGGAACATGTCTTAAACGCATGGCATTCGGTTTCAGCTGATGGGGAAACCCAGACCCTGCGTTTTTTGCATTGCAGTGTGAGGAAAAGCATTGCTGCATTATTGAAAGTTACTAAACCTCAGTGCTGGAAACATCTTAACAGCTCATTTGGAAAGAATGTGTCAGCAGGCCATGGTGTCTCTGTCTTTCTCTCTTTCTCTCTACTGTTTGTTTATCCCCGTGCTGTCTTTTCCTAAAGAAAGGCCTCTGTCTGCATTGAATGATAGAAGACATGGCAAGGGATTAGAGTGAAGAGAAGGGTTATTTGTGACATTCATTAGATGCCATCCATGTTTTATCTATGCAACAGAATATTAATGAACTGTAGTACATTTTGAATCCTTTCTGCAGATTCTCCAGCCACTGCTTACAGTGTGTTTACCTAGTTGAGCTCTGTGTTTGCTTAACTGTTGTTGTTTTTTTTAACCCATTAACTCATCTGACCACCTTCTGAGTTGATGTCACCTCCTGAAAATGTCCACATCTAATCTGTGGCGCAGAAGTTAAACATCTGTGTAGCAGGAAGTGTCAGCAAATTTTTATTTTAAATCTGTTAGTCAAAGATGCAGAAGCCTGAGTTAGTCTGTGCTGGCACACTTAAAATAATAACTGGTAAAATGTAAATCGGGAGAAAAGCATAAATATCCTTTTTTTTCTAACTTACAATATAGATACGAAATTACATTTTGGTTGAAATCTGTACAACCCAAATTATCTCATACTGGACTGCTTCTAGGAAGAGAATGATGTCCAGTTCCTAATATTAATTATTTTTCTTGAATTCTATAGATGTGTTATGCAAGATAAAATTATTTCCTTCATTAGTAAATTAATAAAACCAGGACATTTCTGAAGTGATTGGAACACTTTTCTAATCAGTTCTTGTTCTAAAATTGTATACCAATTTAATACCAACGAGACTCACTTATAAAAAGTTAGAGGGCTCTTCCAACCTTCTTGCTAGATGTGGTATTTTTCATAATAGAGATATAAACAGTATTTACCTATCATCCTAGTATTTTGCCCCCATCTCCATCCATCCCAAAATTCAGCCCTCACCATGGATGGTGAGTATTTTAATGGCATACATGGACTTTCCTACTTAACCCTCCTCTCTCCAACATTCTGGAAATCTCAGCTGAAATGCCTATAGCTCTGTGCTTAAGACCCAGATTTTGCTTTTACCTGCTTCTGGTTGTGCTGCTTCCTTGTTTTCTTTGGACTTAATATATATAATTTCATACGATGCCTTCCTTCCCTCCCTCCCTCCCTCCCCCTACTATTCCCCCTCCTTTCCTCCTTCTTTCCTTCTTTGCTTTCTTTCTTTTTCAGCATCTTAACCACATCAAGAGACACTTCAAAGTAACTTTTAAATATACAGACTCGGTTGTATCAAGTGTTCTGTTTATAATTTGGAAGGCCAAGGTATGCCACCTCAGTCCTGATGATTTGGCCAAGGGTGACACAGGGCATATGGGTCAGAGACACAGGGGATTCCCTGGGTTGTGTTTTGGTTTCAGGCCACACACCCTCAGTAGAGCCTCTACCCTCGTAAATACTAATGTGCCTTTAAAATAGGTGACTCCTCCACTTTAGCTTAAGGTAAGAGAACATAATATCACCCTTAAATGTCATTATAGTGTGAGCCTGGAGTTTGATTTGAACTTTTTATTTAACTGGAGATGGAAAGTTACTCTTAGGTAAACAGCTAATTTTACATTCATTCATGGAGGAAGCTAGTTCTGCAGTGTTGGGTAAAGTCAGTTTCCAAACACTGCAGAGAAAGGTTATAATGGGAAGCCTTACCATAGATTTTACTGAAAGAAGATTTAATGTATATAATTTTAATTATTTGGGGCCCTTATGGCAGACCACATGTGTAGAAGAGTTTTTGGATCTTCTCTCATGAGACATTATTATTGTTCTTTCAGGAAAGTTTATTCCATAGGTACTACAGCCAGGAACTACTCTACTAGCAGATTGTGTATCCTGTAGATTCAATTCAGAATCTTCCATGTCACTTATCAGTAGCATGGGGCATTTTTTGATTTGAGTTTCAGAAATTGAGATCCTGGCTGTGAGACACCAAATATGTAAATATTTCAGAAATTAATGGATCATTTATTTAGAGGTTTATGACTTGTACCTAGCCTAAGCATGGCTTTCCAGTTTCTGGGAAAGAAAGTGGGTTGTTTTTCTTCTTTCTCTTTTTTAAGTGTGGAATTACATTCATGGACACTGTGTAGCACATCATACAGGCCTCAGCTTGGAGACCTGGGGTGGTGTCAGTGCCTAACCATGTTTATTTTAGGCCTGCAAGGTGACAGATAAGACTGGCCTAGATACATTGATGGCTTTATCAGCTGGCATTCCTGAGAGCTTTCCAGTGAGCTGCTAAGTTCGAGTACAGTATGTTTAAGGGCAGTAGCTTTCGAATGTGCTCTGAATATATGAGGACACCTGTTTCTTGGTTTACCAAGAGCTGGCACCAAACCAGAGAATGGTTTTAGAAGATATAAAACATTTTATTTAATAAATTGGAGCATTTTGAGCCATAATTTTATATTTCAGTAAGACAAATACAGCCAGTTCTCAACTATCCATGTAATGGGAAACAGCAGTGGTGTAAAGAATTGGGGCAGCCCAAATCTGACTTCTTAGTAGCTGTTGCCACTGCTCCATTCAGTGAAGAGGCACAACCAGCTTGAATTAACCAGTAGACAGCTCTGTTCCAAAACCCCTCTCTTGGAGGTAGGAATGAGGGTGTGGTGTAGTCATGGTCCATGGAGAGGCAGAATGTTCTAGAAGAGATCCTTTGCACTGTAGGGGGAGGACCTCGTGGTAGCTGCAGCTTTAGAACCTGGGCTAGAATCCCACATTAATTCTTATTTTGATTTTGCTATGTACAAATAATTGGGAGTTGACTAGTATTAACTTCATACTTAGATAGATCTGTTGGCAAAATTCTTATAAGTAAGATATCTGACAAACTTAAGTTTTCTTTCTTCTCTGAAAGAGACAGGAGTCCAAAAGAGGGGAAAAGATAAAGGGACTAGCAACTTATCACCCCAAGATGGATATTTGAGAGTTGGCTGGTACATGCATTTGGTGGTGTGGATGGGATGGAGGGGGGTGGGGATTATTACAGTCCATTGATAGATGCACTTGAAAAAAATCTCTATGTAAGATTTAGTTTATAGCTCTATGTAAGAGATTTTGAAGATATTTATTATGAATATAAGTATATTGGATCATTGCCCCTGAGGATCAGAGAAATGTTTTGGGGTGCTTTTCCTATGATTTAAAGGCATCTCTTCCTATATGGAAGGGTTTGTCACTTTGCTATTTAAAAACTACAGTATTTAACCTGAATTTTTCTATTATGTGATAACCACTTCCCTTTGGTTCTCTAAAATTTTACCATTGATTCTAAATCAGAAATAAAATGTGCTCCATATAAAACAGCACTGCGTTTTCCTTGCAAAAATCACATGTCAAAAATATCTGCCAGGTTGCTTTGTGACAAAGGACAGGCACAAATGAAAATGGCAGCAGTGGTGTTGAGCATGTAGATTTCAGCAGGAAGCCTTGTACTTGTTCTGCGTTTAAAAGCTGAAAAAGGACAAGTGATGAGATGATTGCCCAGTGGTATTGATAGGCATGCTGGAGCGGTTCTGGCCTAAAGGGAACACCGTCCCTTAAATGAGCTATGCTATTTTTGCTGCCACCATTTCTCCCACTTGGAATGACATTATTTTAACTTTCAGTCTCACTCCACGGAGCCTGAGTCCAACCCCATCCAGCCCAGGCAGTCCCTGTAGTCCTCTCTTCGCTTTTCACTTCTGGAGGTAAGCACGCTCCAGTGCCTGCCCAGGCTGCTGTCTTCCCCCTCCCCGCCCCCCATGGTCTTTGCGCACTTTGGACTCTGCAATGCACAATAAACGTTTCTTCTTAATTGTTGTCCTCGCTGTAACGTGGAGAGTGAGGAGACTGGTTGAGTTGTTTGCTGGATGACTTACAGGCGCGCTGAGAGCGAGCACTGTGCTTGTTCCATTTAGTATCTTTTGCTGATACTTCACTCAGTGTCTGATGATTAGTTGTTTGTTGGACTCCATGTGACTATTACAGTGTTACCTGTTGCTTTCTTAGCAAATGATCTGCACTAAATTCCACAACTTTTTATGAATCTTGCATAATGGTACAATTTATTACAATTTCTAGAAAACATTTTCTAACCCATGTTAGAGTATCCTAATATCTGTTGCCACAAATGATTTTATATTCTGTTATTTACAGGACAAAGTATTTAACTTGTGTAAATGGATTATATTTTTAAGTGGTTTTATTTTTTTAGGACACCCAGTTACATACACGCCCACCCCCTCACTCATCAGCTGATCCATAAATTCTTTAGGAACTCTACTTGCATTTTAGCCCAGTTTGTTACAAAATACATGATAGAAAATACTGATGGTATTGTATGTATAGTACATGTGTTCTAATGGAGTTTTCATTAATTCAATATCGATGGGTATAGTGAGTCTCCTGGTATCTAATAAGAGACACATAAAGTACCCAGCACTCCTTATTCCTTCCTTTCTTTGTTTTTTAATTATAAGGGATAAAGTAGAATCAAACTCTCAGTTGATGGAAAGAATAAATTCTTTATTAATGTATATGTTTTATTTCATATATGTAAGCAAATGAAGAATTTGCCACTCATGGCCAGTTCATTAAAAATAGGAACTTAGAAGCTTTATGCTTAGTTGATAACAGTTCCATAATTTAACAATTTATTCCTCTCATTTTTTCTAAAATAAGATTTAACTAAAATCTGTGAAGAAGAATTGAATAGGGAAATGAATTAATGGCTTTGAACTTTGGTTCTACTCTTTTGCTGATAGGATTATATTTATTATTATAAAAATGACTTTCAACCTGAAAGTTCCATGCAATAGCTTTTATGTAGCTCTGAATAGAATAGATCCTAAAACACAGGAGAGTTTTTGGCAATCCAGAGAATCGCATGGCACATGTAATTTGTCTATTTTTGGTGACCCAACCACAGGTAATTGGACTGTCTTCTGAACTTTCTTCTTCAGTATAGCATGTCTTCATCAAATGCTCACATTTGCTTTTCTTTTTACTTCTTAAAGACAATGGGCTATTCAAAATGAAGCTGCTCTCACTAGTGGAGGAGGAAAGGGTCAGACTACAGGCCGGGGCAGTACAGAGGATGATGAAGCTCTGAAGAGTATTTTTGGAGGAAGGGTTTTTGGAACTGATGATATTTGAGCTGGACCTTGACAAATCTTGGGGTTTCAGTGGGGAGAGATGGTGGTGAAGGACAAGAACAGACAAAGACTAAAACAGGCAAGGGGCTGAAAAAGTGTGGCACATTGTAGCAAAGGTGTGTGCAGCTAGAACACAGGGCGGATGGAATAGAGAAAAGCGTGGAGTTGTACACAGCTTGATGTGGACTTAAAAATGGATTTGGAAATATGCTATGTAGGGCCTTGAATACTGAGCTAAAAAGTTTGACTTTTATTATGCCAAGATTCAAGTGTACTGGAAGATTTTTTTTTGAATAAGGAAATAACCAATCTGAGCTCAGACTGAGAAAATTTACCTTTACTAGTATTAAGAATCAGTTGAATTGTAGGCAGAAACTGCAGTGAGGATGCTGGCACAATATTCCATGAGTCAATTGCAATGAATTAAATTGACATTTACAAAATACAGTTGACCAAATGTTTCTAGCTACATTATCCCATTCAGTTTAATCCACCTGACACCACTATGAGGCAGGAAAGCATATTGCTTCTGTTTATGGATGAAGATGCTAACACACTTAGAATTTAAGTCACTTAATTAGCCTGCGATTCAAAATGAAGTCTCAGATCTTCCCACTGTGGCTACCTTAAGACATACCTATTGCTATGAGATCGTGAATATGGAGTTTTAATTATCTGGTGTAGGTAGACCTTGTGACCTCCTTGATTCATTTCTATTTCCCCCAGTGCCTCTCTCAATGCCTGGCATATAGTAAGTGTTTGAGAAATGTTTATTAAAGAATGAATAAATGAATTGAAAATAGAAGCTATATGAACAGTGCTCTTCAGAAATCAACCACCGGGTAAATATACAGTAATACAATTGTGATTCTCACTCACAGACCAAGAGTGTGTGAGAGGATCTGCTCCACGCAGTCACGGAGGGATTCAGGGAATCTTCAACAGCTGGCCTTCAAGGTTGCCCTGGGCATGAACATCCAGCTGGTGGTGTGAGGGAAAAGAGGATGGGAGGTGGTGCAATGCCAGACGTGAAGGTAGCCTGCATTGCTCCCAGTCATACTTCATTGCCCAGAACTTAATATTCTGACTACACCTAAGGACAAGGAAGGCCAGAACGTATAGCTCATCTAGCAATCTTTGTCACAGAAATTGATGGAAAAAAGGTGTCCATAGTAGGCGTTCAGTCAATATTTTTAAATGCATGGTTGACACTGAGATTTCTAGCCTTCACTGAGTGGAACCCAAGAAAGCAGAGTTGGAGAGGGAGGCAAATTTAGTGATGATGAGTAATGAAGACATCTCTAGGTAGAGATATGTGGTTGGCAGTGTGGAATTGAGTTTATCTGATCGTGGGCCCTAAAATGATTGCCTAATATGAGTTGAAGAGATTCCAAATATGTTCATGATATTATCACAGAAGAGCATGCATTGCATCCCTGAAGAGAATTTTCTTTTTCTTCTATCGATCGTGATGGATCAGATTTCTCTTTTGTTTCTTCTCTGTGAGTGGGGTTTGGAGGTCTGAGGGAGCCTGGTGGTGGCGAGCATAACTGTGTCTGTGCTCTTTGGAGGCGCTGACACAGAGTTTCTAAATAGGGCAATGAAGACTGCTCCTTTCATAGAAAAGCCCGGAGCAGGCTATGCTGAGAGGTGAGAGGCTCTCGTCTACCCGGGTGTCTCCGGCTCAGGCCTCCAGAAGGTACGCAGAGAGAAGAGATCTGCAGCTTCCCTGGCAGCTCAGAGTTGCTAAGTGAAAGTTAAGTTTAGTTTGTTTTGTCCTGGGAATGCAATTTTGCACTGCTGCTGAGAAGTTCCAGCCAGGCAAAGCTTGGCTCAGTATGAGGGGTAGAATTTTCTAAGCAAGCTTTCTGCATGTAGAATGGGCTGCTGCATCAGACCATCCATTTCGTGCTACCGGAAGTTTTCACCGGAAGGCCAAGTCCCACCCACCTGGGAAGAGGCAGAGGTCATTCCTGCATTGAGCAGAGTATTAGACCACATTTTCCCCGAAGGACCTTCCATCCTGAAATTCCGGTGTTTTCATGGTCTTCCTGCAGGACTGGAGCGAGAGTGGCAAAATACACAATTTATCCCCTAGCTAAAAAAAAAAGGCCCAAATATTAGTTTATTGTACCAACATGACAGAGGACATTTTTAGACCCTTAAGTGGAATCTCTTATTTCTTCCCTTTCCTCCTTCTGAAGCAACCATAGCCACTCAGGATTTCCATGGTCTACACTACTTCCATGGACCACCATTTGGTGGGGGTGCATATAAGGATGCCGTCAGTGCCTATGAGTGATGTGGGTGTACCCTGTGCCAGCTGGTCATCGGGACTGTGATTAGAGAGCAGGATTGCAAAGGAGCTCCCTCGTGTTACGCTCTCAGTATCTTTCCTGGCACTGAGCATGCCTTCCCCTCAATAGGGACCATGGAAGTAGTGGGGGCCCGCCACCATGGCTCAGTGACATTCTATCACAATACAGGGATGTACTCTCGTTTTTCCACTTCACACCCCACCTTCTGAGTGGATGGCAACCATCAGAGCATCTGCTGCACTTCCCGTACTCCTTCTATTTCACTTCTTCCGACCTTTTATTGGCCTTTCTTTGGTTCCTGGAGTTGGCAGACAAACAGTCAGCTCTGCCGAGTGGCAGTGGAGCGGGTATTCCATTCCTTCTCCCAAGGCCCCCCTCCCTGTTTCAGTGGAGAACACACACGCCACATGGCTAGTAGGACACAGTATGAGTGTCCGAGAATATTGTCACTGTGCTATAATTTCATGGTGACAATCATTTTGGTCTGCTGTTGTTTTTTTTCAAATGTGTAACCACACACCGAAAATAGTGCCTGACACTTCAGTATGTATGAATGGAATGAATGACTGTTATTCGCTGGAACTCAAGCCTAGTCTCATGTTTTCACATATGTGGTACATAAGCCCTGAGAATGGTGCCGGCACCTTGGGAAGTAGGGCATGCATTTTGATTCTTCCATAAATATTAAATGATGGCTGTCAAAATGTGAAGACCGAGTATCTGTTATTAATGAAAGTTCAAGGACAAAGGAGAAAGGCTTTATTAAAGAAAGGTAAACCGCCGAAACCGGTTTGGCTCAGTGGATAGAGCGTCGGCCTGCGGACTGAAAGGTCCCAGGTTCGATTCCGGTCAAGGGCGTGTACCTGGGTTGCGGGCACATCCCCAGTGGGAGATGTGCAGGAGGCAGCTGATCGATGTTTCTCTCTCATCGATGTTTCT